CAATTCTGTTTTATAGTTACATTTTATACATTTTTGATAAGACTCTCACTTGAAAGACAATTCCAATCTCAAAGTGATTGAGGATGCTCAATATTGAGTTATTGTGGGGCATGCTAGATAATACTTCAAATTACGCCGGAAAGTGTAGCAATTTTGACTTATATTAGATAAGGTTACAGAGCGCTTTAAAAGTTTGGAACCGCTAAAGTAAAGTATCAAATTCTATAAAAATGGCCAAATGGATTGTTCTTTATGCGTTTCGCTTTTTACAGAAGGCCGAGAAAGCGTCGGAATTCGCTAACGAGGAGATTATTCCTGAACTAAAGAAGATCTATAAAGCAGCAACAGAGGACGACAAATCCACAACAGAGCGGACAGTAGAAATTGACGAGTAGAACTCTCCCACTAAATAAACCGCTGTTAATGCTTGCTCCTAGTGTCTGTGCCTCGATTTACCTGGTCAAATTCACGGTCTCTCTTTCACATACAAACACTTGGCAGCTTTCTCAACTTCTATGTTCAAGTCACCTTAATATCCTGAGTATTGCATTCATGCGATTTCATGCTGTTTTATATTAGCCTTACTTCATACTCAGAGCTTCATCTTTTTAAAAAGTGCGATCAACCAAGAAGAAAGATGAGGTCTCAATTATGTACAAACGGGTTCGTCGATTAACGAATCATTGTTGGCTGTGGCTTAACGCCTACGACTGTCTTTGTTCAAATAAATGTCTCTTGTATTTTTCTATCATGATAAAGCTTTGAAACGAGTTTTGAGGATTTTATAATAGCAAGCATTATATTTCCCACTTATATAGGATATACTAAAAAGAAGAATCCTTCGAACCATTACCCTTATGCTCCGCAAGTCGGATGCAAAGAAGAAGGAAAGGATGTACTCTAGCAGGGTCTTGAAGATCACATCGCATCTTAAGAACAGACCTCAACGGTCATGTGGGGGGAGGGGGAAAACCAAGAATGCAGTAATATGCCACGAGAACCAATACGGAGCATGCAATGAAAAAGAGGAACTTATTCTTGAGTTTGTTACAGCCTACA